GCAAGGGCTCTCACCCGCCCCCTTCCCTCCACCTGTAACCTGACTTGCCCACCCGGCCGCTACGGAGCCAACTGTGCCGAAGCCTGCAGCTGCCACGACGGCGCCTGCGACCCGCTGACTGGCGCCTGCCACATGGGTGAGTGCCAGCGGGCACGGGTCGGGGCGCCGGGCTCTGCCACGGGGCCGACACCGGGGCTGAGCCAGCCGGTTTTGTCTTGCAGAGGCCAACCAGCGGATGGGGGTCATCGGGGCAGGAGCCCTCCTGGCGCTGCTGCTCATCCTCCTGCTCTCCCTGCTCTGCTGCTGCTGCGTCTGCCGCAAGAAGGACGAAGCCCGCGGGTGAGTGCTGGGGCTGGGAGGGCTCTCGCCGGGCTCTGCCACGAAGGCTGAGCAGGGGGGGAGCTGCGGCTCTGCCGACAGCTGGGAACGTCGGTGCCTGGTGCGGGGCTGGGACTGGTGGGAGGATGCAGGGACCGCACTGGGACAGCGGCGCTATGGGGAGACTGAGGCAGAGCAGCGCTGCCCGCCCGGCACCATGCACCCTGTGAGTCCCCGGGGTCTGAGCAAGTCCCGCTGCATCCTCAGGGCAGCACCCAGCTGGGGGGCTGATGGAGGGGCTCGGGGTGAGCCCTGCCCGGGGACCCTTTTCCCCCTCTCCCTGACTTTGTTTCCCTCTCGTGGGCCATCACTTCATGGAGACCCACCAGGGCCCCTCCAGTCTCCGGGGGGCTGGAGCTGATCTGCAAAGGGAACCCTAAAATACAGTGAGGGCATCAAGACGTGACCGAGACCTCCAGAACAAATCCCTGGGCCGTGGGGTGAGACCTGGTGGGGTGATGGGCTGCGGCACTGCCAGCTGTCCCGGACGGGGATGTTTGGGGCAGGCAGGGTGAGTTCCTGCAGCAAGGTCGGGATGCCGGCAGCATTTCGGCAGCACCAGGTGACATCCCGCCACGGGGATGGGGACAGCCTCATAGCAGGGGCGAAGGCTTGTGCTGCTCAGCAAGGGATGAGCGGGCTATGGGAGCTCCTCCGGCTGCGGAGAAAGCTTCCCCTTGTGCCGCCGGCTGCTGCAGGGGAATTTTCCGGAAGCCTCCCCTTGCAGCCCTGCCAGCTCAATCCCAGCCCGGCACATCTGGCTTGGAGAGCCCGGGGGCTGCGTGTAATTATCCCACAGATAAAAGCACAAACGCAGCCCTACGTGGTGAAGTATTGCTCAGGGAGAGGGGGAAATGGCTCAAAACAGATTCCTCTCACCCGGGGTGCCCGGACCCCCGTGATGTCCCCAAACAGCTGGGTCACCCATGGTGCTGTCCCAGCGGCAGTTCCTTGCCAGAGCATCCCAAGGGACCGCAGCGACGGTGGGCACGTCACAGGTTGCCTTGCATCAACACACGAAGCCGCTCGCTCCTGCGGCTGGCGATAATTGCTTGAAAACTCAGCCCCGGGGGGCTTCAAAACCAGAGAGCAAATAAAGAGAAGCCACGTGTTTGTTTTTGGGTTGGGATGATTTTTTTTTTTTTTAAACCCGGGACTGGCAGCAGCCCTGGCAGGTCCCTGACCCCCTGTGCCCTGGGCACCCCCCTGCCCCGAGCCACCCCAGGCTCTTCCCCGAAACCCCTTTGCATTTGCAGCATCGCTGAGGTCCTGACTCGCTGTCTCACCCCGTGAAGGCTGTCCCCACCGCGGGGCGGGTGCCGGTGCCTCTCTGATGGGGCCGTCGCCTTCTCTTGTAGCTCCAGCCAGGACCCGGCAGCAGCCAAGAAGCCGCCAAGACGCTTGTGCGGGCGTTTCAGTCGGATTGGCATGAAGCTCCCTCGCATCCCCCTGCGCCGCCAGAAGTTACCCAAGGTCGTGGGTAAGGTGCTGGGGTTTGTGGAGGAGGCAGAGAGCCAAACCCTGGGGGCTTTACTCCTAGCGGGGCAGTGCACGTGACTCACAGCGTCCTTTCTAGCCCCAAACCCAGGGCGGTGAGCACGGCAGAGTGGTGATGGGGACACGCGGGTCCCCGGGACTGTCGTAATGCTTGGTGTGAGCTGCCTGGCTCACAGGAGCTCAGCCCTTTCTCAGTCTGCCGCTTCTGGATCTCAAAGCGCATCGTTTTGCTTTGTGAGGGCAGGTACCTGGTGCCTGGAGCTCTTGCGAGCTGTTTTGTGAGGTTTTTAGGTTCCCCAGGTAGAGGAATGGTCCCCGTCGCAGCAGCGAAATGCCTTGTTTGCCCTTTTGGTCCTGACCTAACCCTGCCCCAGCTTTGCCAGAACATCTGAGCCGGGGCCAGGGCCCACCCCTCTGCTGTGCACAGCAGAGCTGAGGATGAAAGGGCAGAGATTTTGGGTGAGCTCCCCACACTGCCCAGGCACGAACCGGGCTCAAAGAGGGGCTGCTCACACCCAGCAGAGCTCCTGATCCAGGGGTGTTGGGGCTGTCGGGGACCAGGCAGCTGAGGAACACTGTACCCTGCACGCTCTGCAACCTCCCTGCGCTCATCCCAGCGTGAGGATGGGGATGTGCTGCCTCGGAGAGGACCCTGTTGAATAAACCAGGGGGCGAAGGCAGCACTCCCCACCCTATGCCGGCACGGGGCTCAGCCCCGTGTCCCCCCAGGCCCAGCACCTCCCTGGGTGTGCAGTGCTGGCAGGATGCCCCAAGCGGCCGCATCCTGGCATGCGTGGCCCCCATCCCGGCATGCCGTGCCCAAGCTCCAGCATCAAAGTGGGGGGCACGACTCCTCACCGCGTGAGGCACGGCAAAGCCCTGCCCCAGAGCAGGGTGCGCCAGGGCCGGAGAAACATTCCTGCTGCAAGGATAACAGAGGCCGTGTTTGTGGAAGGGGCCGGGCAGGGCTTGGGGAGGACAGAGGGTGCCTGTGTGCGGCGAGGGCAGGGGGAGCTGAAGGGGGCTGCCTGCGCCTTCCCCGTGCCGGCCCAGAGGCAGCTGGCACCCACCCAGCTGCGCTGCATAAACAGGGCGGCAGCAGCCCCGGGAAAGGCTGAGGATGCAGCGCTGGTGCCAGAGGGATGCTCAGGATGGTCTGGGGTCCCAGCCGGGCTGGGGCTGTTCCTGGAGCCTGTTGGTGGGGTTGGGGGTTGTTATTTCACCGGGGGGAAAGGCTTTGGTCGGGGGTTGTCTTGTGTTCATCATGTTATCCTGCAGGGCACGGCAGAGCTGGCATGGTCTTCAGCCGCTCCCGGTCCCTCTGGTGCATGGTCCGGTGATGCCTCCAGCCCCCACCGGGCCTGGGGACCCCCTGTGCGAGGGAGACCTGCCAGGGTGCATGCAGCAGCTGCATCCCTGTGATGCCCAGTGACCGCAGTGCCATGTCAGCGCATGGCTCCGCCTGGAAGCCGTGGTGGCCGGTACGCGGTGGCAGAGGCCGCCTGTTCCCCACGTTGGTCCTGCCCTGGCAGGAGAGTCCGGGGGATGCTGAAATGCCCCATCCCAAGTGCCAGGTCAGCGCTGGAGGTGCTCAGGACCCTGTGGGGTTGTCATAGTGAAACCAGCGCTGGCCGAAGCGGAGGACGCCTGGTAGATGGTCGCTCCAGCTCTGCTCATATCCTTGCACAGCCGCTGCCATGGCCATGCATTTGCTAGCGCCGGGCAGATTTTCCCCTCTGGGCTCGGACATGACCATGGTCACCACCAGCAAGCACAAGCCTGTGCATGGTAGAACCTGCCCAGGTGGGGCAACAGGTTTTGAAGCCCCACCAAAGCTCATTGGGTGCCCGGAGCCCCAGGTGCCCCCCTCAAAAGCTGCTCCGCGCCTCAGCACTGGCTTCGGGTCCGCAGCATCTTCCCGGGTGTTGCACCTGAGCTGGCAGCCCGCACGGCCACATCCTGGGCTGACACCAGTGGCCGCGGTGCCAGGGTTTGGGCATCCCTGTGTGCGCAGGTTTCACGGGGTTTGCTTGCCTGGGACGTCAGTGGTACCAACATGGGTCTTGGTTGTGTGTCACCCCGCGGATGCCAGGGCTAACCCAAGCCCTGCAGCGCGGGGTGCCCGCTCCTGCACCCCACCACCGCGTCTCCTCCGAGTGGCAAAGCTCAACCAGCCCCCAGGGTGATGCCGACTGCAGGGAGCTTGGGATGAGTGGGATGGGGTGACCAGGAGGGCTCTGGGGCCATCCTTCCACGGCCCTTCTGCGGCTCCTCGCTGCTTCGTCCCGCTCTTGAGACCAATTGGCCGCCATGCAAGCAGGGCTGGGGTCGGCACCCCAATGCTGTGGCCCCGGGAGTTTTCGGGGAGGAGCAGCAAGAGGGGACCTGAGGGAAGTGGATGCATTTCTCCCAGCCCCATCAGCCCGTGATGTATCGGCCGGGGGGGATAAATCCCAGGGGACCATGCAGGAGCCCCCGAGCCTGGCTCCGGGTGCGCTGCACATCCTCTTTTTATCCTTTGGCTGTATCCTGGGTCTCACCCGAGTCCCAGAGACGCCTCGTGGCCGTGAGTCCCAGCCACTCATCACACCCCCTCTCAGGAAGCATCTCCCTTCATCCGCTTCCAGCCGGCTGCTTTTAATTTTCCCTTTTTGGTTTTTATTACAAGGAAAGCCTTGTCGAACCTGCCTCTTCCCTCTCTCCAGGCTGTTTGCTCTTTAAATATCGCTGCTTTTTTTTTTTTTTTTTTTCCCCTTTCTCCGAGAAGCCAAACCATGCCGGGGCGAGCATGCATCACCGCCATCATTTTAATGACCCTGCATCTCTGAAGCCAGATTCCCTAATAAAGAATAAATGTTCCGGTGGGCACCCCAACAACAGAGTTATTTTATTGTAAAACAGGGATGTGGTGCAAGAATCAAACAGTCCGAGCAGGAAATTGCAGCGTGACTTAGATGGTTGGGATGTGCGGGCAGAAGTTACAAATACCTGGAAATACCGATGTACAGCTGCTGCGCAGGGGGATCCTGCCCTGTGCACTGGGGTTTTGCAGCCCTTGCTGCAAAGCCGGGCTCTGCCTTGGCTGCAGCCCTTGCCACCACCCCAGGGGACAAAAGCCAGCAGGCAGGGGATGGGGACAAGAGCATCTGATGCTGCCTGGCTCTCCGGGAGCGTCGGTCCCCTCCACCCAGCTGGGTGCTGCCACAGTCCTGCGGGTACCCCGAGGACGATGCCAAAGCTGCGGGAAAGCACCGCGGGGTGGGTTGGGACATGAACTTATCCAGCGAAAAGCCTTAAAAATGATCAAACAGAAAAACCAGTCCCTCCCGGCCCAGACAACTGTCACTGCTCAGCTTTTTTTTTTGTTTGTTTTTAACTGTTGAAACCGAAAATATTTTTAACACCAAGTTTTTCCTCTCTGGTGGTTTTTCTCTTCCGCTCGGCTTCTCTGTGGGTGGCCTCCGTGGCAGAGGGGGCAGCACCGGGGCGAGGGGGGATGCTCCCCCTCGGCTTCAGGATGGGAGAAGCTGGCAAAGGGATTGAAAAGTGGCAGAACTGGGAAAAAATGGTGCTGCACATCCCCCTGCCACGGGCAGCCTTTTACCATCCTTCTACCTCCTTTTGCAGAAGGAGGCTGGGGGACCTGGTGGGGATGTGCGGCAAGAGCTGTCCCCATGCCTGGGATGCTGTGCCTGTCCCCAGGACCCACCAGCAAGTTGGGCAGGGGGGAGCTGTGCAGCATCCCACCCTCCTGGCTGGTATGGGGGCCGAGGGGATCTGGCAGGACAGGCACTGACAGCGGTTCCTTGCCCTCACAGTGGCCCACCACGACCTGGAGAACACCCTGAACTGCAGCTTCATCGAGCCGCCCTCCGTGGTGGAGCAGCCTTCCCCATCCTGGTCATCCCGCGGCTCCTTCTCCTCCTTTGACACCACAGATGAGGGGCCGGTGTACTGCGTCCCCCACGAAGGTGAGCAGGGGGATGGGGCGCTTCCCCAGGGGACTTTGGGGACATCACCAGGGGCCACCTCCTGCTCAGTGCAGAGGTGTCACCCTTACGCGGTGGGGACTGTGCCGCCCTGGCTCCTCGTGCCCCGGGAAGGCATATGGGTGCTGATGTTGCCTCCCGTGCGGATTCAGAGCTCCCTCCTCCAGCATTTGCTGCTCCGGCATTGTTTCAAGAGCCTTCTTGTGCTGGGGTCCCTGACCGGGAGGAGGGGAAGGGGGGACCTGGGGACACACCGGGGTGTGGGGGGGAACCGGGTGGGATGCCGTCCCACTATGCTGTGGGAGCATCTCGGTCCTTCCCCTCCCTGGGCACATCCCCACCTGACACCCCCATGCTCTCCTCCCACAGAGAGTGTGGGCGACAGCAGGGACAGGGGGACACCTGCCAGCCTTGGGGACAAGCTGGTGGCCCCAGCCGGCGGGGAGGAAGCGGGCGAATACACCTTCCTGAAGGAGACGGGCTCCGTCAGAGCCTTCCCGGCCGACAGCAGCGAAACGCCCCTGCTCAAGTCCTCGGACAGTGAGCGCTCCTCCTGCGGCTCGGGCTCGGCCGGTGCCGCGCTCTATGCCCGGGTTGCCCGTCTCTCCAAGCAGTCCAAGGAGGAGGAGGATGCTGTCATGGAGCCCCGCAGCCCTGGGAAGCCGCCATCCCCGGAGAGGACCAAGCCCCGTCCCCCAGACCCAGCCACGAAGCCCAAAGTCTCCTGGATCCACGGCAGGTACAACTCCAGCCAGTCCAACTCGCTGCCGGCACCCAGCCGGTCCCCGGAGCGAGTGGCCCCCCCCCCGCCCCCACCCCCCCGCCGGCCCCCGGAGCGAGTGGCCGTCCAGCCCGGCAGCCCCGAGCAAGGTCAGGGCTTGGCCAAGAGGAAGAGGAGCCCAAGCGAGACGTCGGCCGGCGTGCAGGGTAGGACGGAGGAGAAGGGCGGCACGCGGGGCAAGGAGAAAGTGCAGAAGCAACCGAAGGAGCCCGGTGTCCCTGAGGGCAAAGCCAGCCTCACCGGGGAGCCCCAGTCGCCCTCCAAGCCCAAGCAGAGGAGCAAAGGCAGCTCAGAGCCAACAGAGAGCATCAACGGGGCAGTGCAGAACGCCTTCCGAAAGATGAGCGCCTTCCAGCCGGAGCGGCGGGTCGGGGACAACAGGGATGCTCCCCGCAGCCCCGGCACCAGCAAACCCCGCTCCGAGCCACTCCATCCCCACCTGGCCTCCGAGCTGGCCGCCCAGCTGAAGGAAAAGACTCAGAGCCTCAACAAGGGGGACGGAGGCACCCGGGCGAACGGGGTGGGCGCCCAGCGGGAGAAGCCCACCCCTCCACAGAAAGCCAAAAACCCCAGGCGCTCGGGGGCCGCTGGCAGCCAGAAGACCAGCAAGCCCTTGCTGCCCACCTCTCCCCATCTGCAAAAACTGATCCCCGGGGCGGCCGAGCCAGCGGCCGGGGAGCCCAAGCGGGTGGAGAAGCCAAGCGCCGGTAGCGGCCAGGACCAGGCTCTCCCCAACGAGCAAGCGGCCAAGAAAACCCCCATTAAAAAGCCTCCCAGGAAGAAGAGCCGAGAAGCCAGCCTGGAGCAGCCCAGAGCAGCCGCCGTGCCCGCTCAGGCAGTGCAGTGACCGGGAGCCGGGCACTGGCCCCGCGCCGGCTGGCTGCGTGCCGGGAGGAAGGGACGTGGCGTGGCCAGCAGACGTGGAAGACTGGGCAGGACGTTTGCTGGCGTGGCCAGCAGACGTGGAAGCCTGGACTGGGCAGGGGGCACTCGAAGAGCCTTGAGCCTCCATTTTCCCGCCCTCCATCTCTCTCATCCCCCTTTTTCCTTTAGTCTCCCCTGCCCCAGGACCTGGTCCTTCCCATCCATGCCCTGCTCCCTGCTCTCTGCCCGGGTCTGGCAGCTCGCCCTCCCCGTGCAGGGCAGGACTGCAGGGAGCCGGCCCGGCTGCCAACCCGGGGGGGGTCCATGTGTGGCATATCCCCCCCACTTTTTTGTAGCAGTATTATCGATCGCATAAGCAGCGCTTGTTGTACTAGACGTACCCACGGTATATTCTGCAGTAACGGAGCCGCTCGCTTCCCGCACCGCACTCTGGTCTGTCGGGCTCGCGGTGCACGGGAAAGGGAGGGTGCTGCTGCTCGGCGCCCAGGGCATCGCCGGGGATGTGCCCTGCATCCATCACCGGCGGCAAACCCCTGCCCCGGCACCCTGGGCTCCAGGCACGGCTCTCCATTGCTGGTCCTGCCGCAGCCGTACAGTGCCCGGTGTGGGGTCGAGCTGGTTTCGACCGATGCCTCCCTCCCGTCCGCCCCTGGGGTTGCTTCTGGCCAGGAGGAAAGCACTATTTATGGCCGGAACTGGACACCCTTCGGGCTCCCGTGTCCCATCCAGCGGAGTTGGAGGGATTAGTTTGGTACGACAGAGCCTGGCACCTCTGCAGAGTGCTTTCCTAATAAAAATGTATTTCTTCTGTAGCCAGGTGCCATCTTTCCGTGCTCCATGCTCCCTGCGGGCAGGCGATGTGCTGGGCGTCGCCTGGTCTGGCTCGGGTGCTCAGCCCGGTCCTGAGTGGGATGTGGTGGGGGGATGGATGACCTTGCGGCAGGTACAGGCGGGTGGTGATAGGCAGGTAGGCAGGTTGGGGAGGCAGGTCCCCGCTGCGGCTGCTGCTATGTGCTCGCCTGGCAGCAGAGACCAGCCCTAGGGGCAAGCTTAGGAGCCCCTCATCCCCCACCCCTCGCTATCCAACATCCTCCCCCAGCCCAGCAAGAGCCCCGGGGGAGGGACCCATCTTGTGGTCAGACCCTCTCCAGCATAGCCAGGATTGGACCCTGGGGCTCAAGAGAGCTCTGGCCGCTGGGCAAAGAGAGTCCACCCCTGGCTGAGGTAGGCAGTTTGGGGAGGCAGGTCCCCGCTGCGGCTGCTGCTATGTGCTCGCCTGGCAGCAGAGACCAGCCCTAGGGGCAAGCTTAGGAGCCCCTCATCCCCCACCCCTCGCTATCCAACATCCTCCCCCAGCCCAGCAAGAGCCCCGGGGGAGGGACCCGTCTTGTGGTCAGACCCTTTCCAGCATAGCCAGGATTGGACCCTGGGGCTCAAGAGAGCTCTGGCCGCTGGGCAAAGAGAGTCCACCCCCGGCTGGGTGCTCAGGGTGCTGGGACACAAATGTGGTGGGACATGGGGGGGCTGCCAGTGGGGTGCAGGGCTCTGACCCCAGCTTTCTAACCCCCCTGCCAAGGGGCTACCAACCCTGGTAGCGTTTGGGCTCTCCACTCAGCCCCGGGCACGGTGCTGCCACGTGGCAAGGCTGGGAGAAGCCCAGGGGCCAGCTGAGATGTGCTTTCTCCCACACGGCTTCTGCCCTAGATTCCCAAGCAGTCCTGCCTGCAATTTGCCTGCACCCTGCCTGCACACTACCTGCATGCTTCCACCACTTGGCCTGCGCGCTGCCTGCGCACTACCTAATCTCTGCGTGCATTTTGCAAGCCCTCTGCCTCCGCCTGCACACTACCCGCACGCTGCCTGTGCTCCGTGTCGCTGCCTGGGTCTGCGGCGGGGGAGGCAGCGGTGCTCTGCAGCCTCACCCAGGAGACTGAGGGCAGCAAAGCCCTGCCTGTCCTGCCGCTCCCGGCACTTGCCCAGGGCCCGTCGCCTGCAGGGCTATAAATGCAGCTGGTGCGGGCAGAGGGGCTCTGGGTCCGTTGGGGCGGTGGCTCTGCCCCCGCCAGGCTCCTTCAGCCTCAACCGGAGCCTCCGCCAGCCCGTGGGGCTGCAGCACCCACCGCTCTGCCCGGCTCTCCCTGGAGGAGCCAGAGCCGTGGGCTGCGGGGGACCCTCCCCGCCGTGAGAAATGAAAACGGGGCTCTGCTGCCGTGGGAGCCAGGAGCACCGGTGCCCGCTGTTGAGCCGTCCCGAGCTCTGCCCACGGTGAGGGATGATGGCCCAGGAGAAGACCACCGGACCAAAAGGCCAACTTGTGGGGCAAATCTCAGAGGTGATGGAGGCAGCCGGTGAACGCCAGAATGGGATGAGACCACCTGGAGCCAGGACTGCAGCCAGCCCAGCATGGCACTCGGGAGGGGACGGGGCTCCGGCACGCTCCCTGGCACCGCTCAGCATCGCAGAGCTGGAGACAGTGCAGTATCTGTGACACTGGCTGGAGAAGCACCATCTCATACCATCTCATAAAGCTGAAGAATAAAGGGATGGGACGTCACGCGACTTGTCGGCGTTGCTTACAAGACTCCTGGCCACCTTTCAGAGTTCCTTCACTCTCCCTCCCCTTTCCTTCAGGTTTTACTTGGGAAGATGAAAGATGACAGCTGAAACTACTCCTGGGACTTCACACAGCAGAGTAACGGGAGGTGACGAATCCGCTCAATGTCACCAAAGCCAAAATAGACAAAATCAATAGAAAAATGGGCACACTGAGCCTACGAGGCCTGGGGTGGCATTGAAGTCCCTCTCCCTCTGCCAGAGAGGCCATTGGAGAAACAGAAGAGGCTTCCAGGAGGCTCAGAAAGGTCTGGGAGAAGGAAAGGAGTCAAATCCAGGCAATAAATGTGCAAAAATAAATACAACTAAAGAGGAAAGAGGTTGTCACAGACATCACGTGGTCCTGTACAAACCTCTTCACATCAGCACTAAAGAGCATCAGGGGGGAACCAGCCATGATGCTCATGATGGTGACCCAGCAAGGTGAATTTGGGAATAGCCCCGGCCTCCTCTCAGGGTACTTTCTCACTCATGCAGACAGCAAAGCTGGGGCTGGTGCCCTGGGAAGGTTGGGCACTGTAAGCTCACCCCGGTCCCCAGGCTATCCTAGGACAGCAGAGCTTCGCCCAGGCACGAGCCCATCTACGGGCTCCGACCACAGCCCCAGCAAGCCAGAGCAGAGCCTGCAAGTGAGCAGCCTACAGGTAAATGCAAAAATCCCACGTCACAGACGCTGACACGCATCCTGGCAGGTCACTGGAGGCTCCAGCCCAACCAGGCAGCAATGCACCATGTCAGGGCAGCCGTGGCGTTGTCTGGCCGAGTCTCGGGAACCTCCAAGGATGGAGATCCCTCAGCTCCTGGTGACTGTCCCAGGGCTGCACCACTGTCCTGGGGAAGAATTTTCTTCTGGGGTCCAACCGGAACCTCCCAAGCTGCAGTCGGTGGCTGTTGTCCCCCATCATATCATCTGGCACCACCAAGAAGGATTTGACTCCATCATCTTAGTTGTTGGCTGCCCTCAGACCCCCTTCACCTCCTCATGGCCAGGCTAACGCAGCCCAGCCCCCTCCACCTCTCCTGGCACAATGTGTGCCAGCTCCACGACCATGTTGACAGCCCACCTCCAGGCCTCTCCAGTTTCTTCACATCCCTCTTGAACTGGGAGGCCCACATCTGGACCCTACTGGGTGGAGAGGCAGCAGCTTCCTTCAGGTGGCTGCCCATGCTCTTCCCAATGTCCCCCACTATGGGCTTTGCCTTACTCTGGAGAAGAGCAACGACAAGCTGATGTTCAACCTGAGGTCCACCATAGTCTCCAGGTTCTTTCCAGCAGGGTCCTTCCAGCTCAGATGGGTCAGATGCTTCTCCAAGAAATGTCCTGTGATGCCACAGGCCATGAAGGACATCACCATCGCATTGCCACACCTCAGCGTCCCGAAGGGCTGATTTCTTCGCATAACATGACCATGAATCTCTTTTCCAAGCATCCTACCAGGGCCTGCAGGCTTTCCTCCCACCACCACACTTTGGTTATCTCTGACTGCAAGCACGCTGCAACAGACACCGGTGACGGGACTTTGGGGGTTCACAAATCAGCAGAGGCTGAAAACCATAAAACAATTTCCCCTGCAGCTGTGAGTCCCACCAGAAAGATCATACGTAGCACAAATACACTTGCTTTTCTTAGCTGCTTTCCACCGCTCTCTTGGACATGCAGAAACCTTTGACCTCAAGGAAAAACCAGCTGAACCCAATCACAGGAGGAAGTCGTAGCAAAACCAGGTCTTCTGCTCACCCGAGGTGGAGCAGAAGCCACTTTCTCCTGAAGCCACCTTCAGGGGCCACCGTCCCTGAAGCCACATTCCCTGACAGACCGGTCAGAGGCTTTAGGTGACAACGTGATGGCTTGACTAAGCATGTTGCATGGCCTCCCATGGCCGAGAAGAAGCAGTGGATGAGGCTGGCAGGAGATGCTGTGATGGAGCAGGACCTGCCCAGCAGCCACCAGCCCTCCTCTCCACCGGGACCTCGGCCAGGGGAAGCAGAGGAGCGTGGCGGCACTTGTGCCCTGCCCTCTCCTCCACCAACACTGTAGCAACACTGGTCTTCTTCACATTTCATACCAATTTCCCAAACTGAAGAAGGAGCCGTTGGGTTGGACATCGGCGCATTTGTTTTGGCTTGGCCAGCAAGCAGCGATAAAAGCGAGCCCGTTGCCAACAATTCATTTCCTATTTCAGGCCCTACCAAAAATAAACTCGGAAGGGAAACTCCAATGAGAATGAAACACGCGTGACACGACGGGGTCCCAAAATTATATAGGAAATTTCTCTCTCAGCGCTCGCTGGGAGGGGAGACGGTGGTGCCAGGGGTATTTCATGCTGGAGGGGGGATTGTGAGGGGCTTGGGGAGCTCCATCAGCTCCACCAGTGGTACAGCACAAGCCAGGGTAAACTG